ATGGATTTGGGCTGTCCGGTCGGTCTATTTTACACTGAAAAAATGACTAAGTCCCATTCGAACGAGCATTTGAATCTTCGAACGGGACCTAGTCTCCAGCCGCAGTGTCGAAGGGGAGAAGAAGGTACAGGTCAGCGATGTTCGTGCAATTGGGTAGCCGAAAACAGTTCCATACATTTAGCTGCACACACTGCTGACCGCATTCGAATGAGTTAAAATGGCCGCCGCCACGTGTTCATTTGTCGAATGGCGGCCACTTCGACTACTTTGGCTGTATCCGAAGTGCCAATTTAAAGTTGCAACACTGCTCCAAAGTAATTAAAGGGCCAGAAAAAGCATTATAAAAATCCATTATGCCCAAATCAGTTCCTTAAAGGGCAATACATCCCAGGGGCCATAGTCACATGGTAGGAGGCTGGCAATCAGTCCTCTCCAATGCCCAGTGGCAAATGGCAGTTTGTCACAGCCTGGATCAGCATTTCTTTTCTGCAAATTACATTTTGAGGATTGGCCAACCTCAGGCCCAGTTGCACCCTGGGATCCAGGAGAGTGTGGTATCCTTTACGGTAATTACATTAGTCATTGGTCAGACATTATATAGTATAATGCTAGGCCATTAATTATTGTTTACTGGAGCAGTGTTGCCTTCCCTGGTATTGTAGCGACCCTTTTAAATTATGGTGTTTTTTATATTTACATTAAACCCTCTTTTAAGAATGAATTACTGAAATCATTTTTAACTTGAAAATTGGGTTGCCAAGCTAATACACTAAATGCATAATTTGGGTCCATGACAAACATTTTTTTAGAACAACTGTTTTAGTTTGTTCTGTAAGGCAGTAGGAGGGAGCAACTGGCTAAAACTGACAAATAAGGAAATGGGTATTGTATACTATCAATGAGGAATCAATGCATACAATCATACCATCTACTTTAACGATCATGAGGTAATACAAAGCAGTACTTAAGAGGAATTGTTTTCTTGATTGGAACTATTAATGTTGGCCATTGAAGCAGAATATCACGATTGGATGGTTAGAAAGGTTTTGGAATTATCTGTGGAAGAAACAAAATCAGCTACAACATCTAGATGGCTGTGTGATTTTAGTAACTGCCATTGGCAAAGCCAAATAGTGCCTTCTCTATCCACAACCTTTGAGTACCACTTCTACAACATGTTGGTTAATAGTGATGTCCCGAACTGTTCGCTGAACAGTTCGCCGCGGTTCGCCACAAACGGTTCGCCGCGGACTCCAGTCAGCAGACACATTCCAGCCAATCAGCAGCAGACCCTCCCTCCCACCTCCTGGACAGCATCCATTGTGAAGCTGCATTCTTAGTGAGCTGTCCAGGAGTTGGGAGGGTCTGGGAGGGAGGGTCTGCTGCTGATTGGCTGGAATGTGTCTGCTGACTGGAGTTCGTGGCGAACCGTTTCGTGGCGAACAGTTCGCGAACAGTTCGGGACATCACTATTGGTTAATTTTAGATAGGTGGCATACCATAGTGTAACAGAACACGTGCCAAAAGGAGAACATTATTTGTGCCTTTTCTAGAAATAGAACACATGATGGATCACATTAAACATTGGAAAGTTTTTTTTCTGATGTTATATGAACAATTAAAAGCCTACAGATTCCTAATTTGGGTAATTGGAGTCCAAACTGTTTACATAGAAAACTTATATGTTCCAATGTTTCCCTTTGCGGTAATAATTTTAATTAACTTTGGCCCAATTGGGAGATAGACCTAAAGCCTTTTAGCTGGTTACCAGATGAATTCATAGGTCAAATATTGATTTAAATAGCAATTCTGAATATATTCTTTAAGCTAACCCATAGGACATACTTTTCTATGAGAGACAAGGAGATCACCACAGCTAACAGTGACCCTTTGTTACCCAAATAGAAATCATTAAAAGGGTTAATTTACAAAATATGTTTTTTATTTAAGAAAAGACCGCTTTAAATGCAATCCAATTTTTACTTTTCAATTACTTTAGCCATTGCTGTTTCCTCTTGTGAACCGTATAAGCTTGTAATTAAATAATTGCTATTCTAAAGAATTACAATGTATGGACTACTCTAGCAAAATAATTCCTTAAAAAATCTATTTTCTTTTAAATGAGAAGATCCATTTCAACTGCAGTGATTTAAGAGAACACATCAAATAACTCACTCTTTAGAATTACACAACGACATTCAGAACTTCAAAGGGTATTTTCAAATGTTCTTTGTAAAAGATGGAAGTACTTCATCATCTAATTTTCTAAAGGTCAGTCTGGTGTATTCACAAGGATGGATATCCAGCTAAACATTGTGTTAATATTTTTAACACATTGTGTTGTGTTCCTTTGTGTTACATAACCTGTTAGAATTGCCACAATACAAAACTAAACATTAAACACCCAAGTGTAAGCAGATGGGGAAACACTACATAAAGCTTACCAATTAAGTTTCGAGATAGCATTAGGGCAGTTGGATGAAAATGTAAGTTATGGAACAATGGTTTAGATAAGAATGAACCTTATAGAATTGCTGTGAGATTATTGTAAATGTAAAGACTATCAATGATATTAGGTATAAGGTTTGAAGTTCTAGGTTTTGTGTAACATAAAGCTAGTTGGTTACAATAAAGTAGCCCTAATATAAACTAAAGATACCAATAGGTACAACCAGTCTAAAATCGGACCCATAGAAAGTAAACACGAGATAACAATAACGTGTTTTAGAAGATAACTGATGAAATTAGTAAGAGGATTTTGCTTGAAGTATTGAAATTATTGAGTGGCGTTAGGATTCACATTTGACTATGGTTAATATTATGATACTCAGTCCATCAAGTTCAAGCATTCTCACATCTGTTCTCACTGCTGATCCAATAGCAAAAACCGTAAACTACCATTTTAATTTAGTTGGGCTGATATTTCTTGTGTTATCCCATAGGTTATTTTACCTTGGGCTGTTATGTTAGGAAACTAGTTTCCATACTACATCTCCCAAAAAATATTTTTTAAATTTTTTTAAGCTTACTTTGAATGTTTCTTTTAGATTTGTATTTTTATCATTTTAAGAGTCAATGATGTTGCCCAGTTGATCTCAGACAACTGAACTGATCTTTCAAACCATTTCATAGTTAAATAAAATTTCACAATCAGCTGTGGCTAATGATTTCATAGAACTATTTCATTTATTTAGTGTCTACGTCGATAATCAAGAAATCTCAAGAGTATTGAATTGTACAAACTGTTACTTTTAATGAACTAAGGATGCTTTAGCTCTTTGTTTTTGCATTCACTTAGTTGTCACAAGAAACACACAAGCGTCGAAATTCTGTGAACTGTTGAGTTGAGGGCACTTGACCCCTTTGGCACTTTGAATGTACTAAGTACAAAATGTCTGAAGCTTTGTAACTGCACAAGTCATGACCAAGTAACAAACTCTAGAGCTTACTGATTGCAATGTAAGTGAAACAAATGATTCTTTCATTCAATACATACATAGTCTAGATGTAAGCAAGAGAGCCTCGGTAATTCAGTTACTGTTCCTAATCCTATCAGCAAGATATTTCTAATGATCTTTTTGTGTCCTGATATAATTCAGCATTTTCTACTGGAGAACCTCTATTTAGTTGATATTCCATATGGGCATGTGTTACTGTAAATCTGTAATACAGTGGCAAATTCATTTAATATTTCAAAAAGATAGTTTGTGAATGTTAGCACAGATCTCTTTGACAACCAAAACACATCACTATACCTCTTAAAGGACCACTATAGTGCCAGGAAAACATACTTGTTTTCCTGGCACTATAGTGCCCTGACGGTGCCCCCACCCTCAGGGACCCCCTCCCACCCGGCTCTGGAAAGGGGAAAGGGGTTAAAACTTACCTTTTTCCAGCGCTGTGCGGGGAGCTCTCCTCCACCGATCCTCCTCTTATCCTCCCATGCGGCTGAATGCGCACGCGAGGCAAGAGCTGCGCGCGCATTCAGCCGGTCACATAGGAAAGCATTATCAATGCTTTCCTATGGACGCTTGCGTGCTCTCACTGTGATTTTCACAGTGAGAAGCACGCAAGCGCCTCTAGTGGCTGTCAATGAGACAGCTACTAGAGGAATTGGGGGAAGGCTTAACCCATTCATAAACATAGCAGTTTCTCTGAAACTGCTATGTTTATAAAAGAATGGGTTAAGCCTAGCTGGACCTGGCACCCAGACCACTTCATTAAGCTGAAGTGGTCTGGGTTCCTAGAGTGGTCCTTTAAGATGTATGTGTGCTGTGCAATTTCACCAGGATGAGAGGTTATCCACCCGAGAGTGTTATTCTGAATAGGGTCACAACAGGATAAAATATTTTGGCTGTGTTTGATCATGCTCAAAAACATTCACCTCCAGACAGGCAAAGAATCTGAGCTCATGCTAGTAAGGATGAAGTAAAGTATTTAAAAAAGGACATGCTCCTTAATAAATGACATTACAGATCCTTTTTGATGTTGGCATAAACTCTTCTTAATGTAGGATCCAAGGGTATATAAAGATTTAATTTCACAGTTGTTACTCACCGCCAGAAGCATCGTAGCTAAACATGATATGAGCGAGTTTCCTCCCACACAATGCATTTTTCATTTTGTACTTGTTAATATCTTGTATTTGTTTTTTTTAAATATTTTAAAACAACAGAACTTTGAAGTATTGGAGTCTATTATTTTTACATTTGTTTTGTGTTGCTGTTTTGTTCTGTTTATTTTTATTTTTTTGTGTCTGTGAACCCTGGTGAGTCTACTAGTTAAATTACAGAAGTCTACATTTTCACATCTTCAGGGCAATCAGATCTTTATAGACATTAATTTAAGTAGATTAAAAATAAATAAATATGTATGTATATATATTGGCATGTATAAATTCTTCACCTAAATGTACTAATGCCCAGAGTAAAACAAAGTGTGTGTACATAATATATATATATATATATGTGTGTGTATAGAGATATATTTATCTGTGCTCATTTGCATGCCATAACAGCAATTTGTGAATGAGAGTATATATATATACATACGCTCTCATTCACAAATTGCTGTTATGGCATGCAAATGAGCACAGACCGTAATCATGTTTCAGAATTCTCCGTGTGATTTTTCAGTTACCCTTAGCAAAGGACACTATTTTAAACTCAGCTTATTTTAAATCAATTAAAGCATGGAATGGGACTGAAAAGAATTAGCGACCTAAAGCCAGCCATGGACTACAAAGTTTTGACCTTTTAGAACCTGTCAGTGTGATCTCATAGTGTATTCTCATATATATATACAAGTATCCAAAGAGGTAGCAGCACTCACAGAGTTTTAAAGATTCTATTCTTTATTTGGTCATTTAAAAATTGCGATGAACGTTTCCGTCCTCTGAACGGGACTTTCCTCGGGATCAATACAACAAAGCAATCAATAAAACAAACTTATATAGACATAAACATTAACATTAATTAAATTAGCTTACCCCCAGGTGAAGTGCATTCCCGAACGCCGTTCTAGCTTGATCAGTGCGCATGTGCAAAATAAGCTCCGCCCCATGACGGCATGGCGTGACGTTACCTCGTCCGTTTCCATGGCGACGCAATACAAATATTGTCACCATGGAAATAGGGATGCGGACGTGCTGACTGTATGTGTTATAAATTGCTCGTTCTAAGGAATGAAAGAAGTGAATAAGAGGAGAAAAAGTGCATGCTCAGGATGAAAATGCATGTTAAAAATAAAGTACATTGTGCTGAATCTGTATTACAATTCCTAGTTATTATAATGCCAACTAGTGAGGCTAGATCATGTATGATCAATTAAAGTGATAGTGTGCATTGTTAAACTTAGTGATATCAAATTATTGATAATAAAGTGCATGTTTAAAGGGGCTAACGTATCATATACCACCTAATAAAGTGCAAACAATATGTGATTAAAGTGCTATAGTGAATAATTCTAAGGGTACAAATATGTTGACCAACACTTATATACAGTAAATACAACTACATGCCTACAGTATCCATAATTATTTGGACGCTCTAAAGTGAGCTGTACTGTTGGAATACTTATTGCCAATTGCAGATTTTAATATAATAATTTGTAAAAATGTATAAATTCATGGGTGCCAAAAAGGAACCTCTTACTTATCTGCTGCTTAGTATAAATTTATTATTTATTTACTGACGACTATTTTGGCATAATGTAGTTTTTAACCGTATATTGTTGGTCTGCTAAATAGCCTAACAGACAAAACACAATGTTACAAATTCATAGTAAAAATACACAAATATAAAACTTAAAAACTAGCTGAAGCTGAAAATTACAGAAAAGAGTGAAAGGAGAGGGTCTCATTAAGTCCTTTTGGGGACACTGTATCCAGTTTAGAGATCCAGAATGCTTCACGGTTCAGTAACATTTTTCCACAATCGTCTGCTCTTTGTGATATGGGCACATGATCTATACCAAGAAATTTCAAGGTGGCCAACGAATGCTCATACTGCAAAAAGTGCTTGGCTACTGGTTTATCAGATATACCGTCCCTATAGGCCTACCTAATGCTAGAGCTAGGGCGGTTTCGGTTTTCCCGATATAAACTAGTCCACACGGGCATGTAAGTATGTATATTACGTATGTAGTTTTACACGTAATGGTGTGTTGTATAGTATACCTTCTGTTTGTGTGCGGGTGAGTAAAGGTTTTCGATGGTGTCATATGCCCACACGTGACACATCCCAAACAACGTACAGACCCTCGGTGCTGGATAACACTTTCATTTGCATAGCTTTTGAATGGGTCTGTGTGCACCAATATGTCCTTCAAATTTTTATTTCTCTTATGGCATATCAGTGGAGTCTCACAAAAGACTTTTGGGAGCGTATCATCTGTGGCCAATATTCTCCAATTTTTCCGAATCACTGTAGAAATCTGTAAAGTCGAGTTATTAAATGTCATAGGAAAGACTAGACGTTGTAGTCCAGGAACCTCCCTCTTTGCTCGAGTTGCCTTGGCATCTTCTAGAGCTTTGCTGAGGGTTTGACTATGGTATCGCTGATTCAAAAATTTGCTAACGCGTACATCTATATCTATGAGAAGAAAAATATCCTGATCCCATATGCTCATTTGATACAGAGTTATTATCGTCACTCTTTTCTGTAATTTTCAACTCCAGCTAGTTTTTAAGTTTTATATTCGTGTATTTTTACTATGAATTTGTAACATTGTGTTTTGTCTGTTAGGCTATTTAGCAGACCAACAATATACGGTTAAAAACTACATTATGCCAAAATAGTCGTCAGTAGATAATAATAAATTTATACTAAGCAGCAGATAGGTAAGAGGTTCCTTTTTGGTACCCATGAATTTATAAATTTTTACAAATTATTATATTAAAATCTGCAATTGGCAATAAGTATTCCAACAGTACAGCTCACTTTAGAGCGTCCAATTAATTATGGATACTGTAGGCCAGGGACGTATTAGCCGCGAGGCAAACAACGCATTTGCCTTGGGCGGCATTTTTCAGGGCAAATGCCTAGTTAGCCTTGCGGCTAACAGACATGCTGGGCGGTGCTGGCTGATGGTCGGGCGGGCGGCTGGCGAGGGAGCTCTTCCTCTGAGCACTCTGCTCAGCTTCCTCGCGCGCCGCAGAGTGAGGCTGGGAGCCGGAATATGATGTCATATTCCGGCTCCCAGCTTCACTCTGCGGCACGCGAGGGAGCTGAGCAGTCAGCTCAGAGGAAGTGCTCCCTCGCCAGCCGCCCGCCCAGCAGCCAGCCCATCAGCCTGACCGGCAGCCACTGGACCACCAGGAAGAAAGAGGAAACCCCCCCCAGCACTCCCAAAGGTAAGGAGGCTGGGGGGGGGTTAAATTAAAAAAAAAAAGTGTTAATGTGAGTGATTGTGTGTGTGTGTGTGTCTGACTGTGTGTGTGTGAGTGATTGTGTGTGTGTGTGTCTGACTGTGTGTGTGTGTCTGACTGTGTGTGTGTGTCTGACTGTGTGTGTCTGACTGTGTGTGTGTGTTTGTGTCTGACTGTGTGTGTGTGTGTCTGACTGTGTTTGTGTGTGTGTGTGTGTGTTTGTGTGTGTGTCTGACTGTGTCTGACTGTTTGTGTCTGTGTGTGTGTGACTGTTTGTGTGTGTGTGTATTTAGAAGGTGGGGCAGGGGGGAAGGGTTGGGTTGGGGTGGCGTGGGGGGAGGGGGGTGCCTGAGTTTTGTCCTGCCTAGGTCAGCACAAAACCAGGATACACCACTGCTGTAGGCATGTAGTTGTATTTACTGTAAATAAGTGTTGGTCAACATATTTGTACCCTTAGAATTATTCACTATGGCACTTTAATCACATATTGTTTGCACTTTATTAAGTGGCATATGATAAGTTAGCCCCTCTAAACATGCACTTTATTATCAATAATTTGATATCACTAAGTTTAACAATGCACACTATCACTTTAATTGATCATTCATGATCTAGCCTCACTAATTGGCATTATAATAACTAGGAATTGTAATACAGATTCAGCACAATGTACTTTATTTTTAACATGCATTTTCATCCTGAGTATGCACCTTTTCTCCTCTTATTCACTTCTTTAATTCCTTAGAACGAGCAATTTATAACACATACAGTCAGCACGTCCACATCCCTATTTCCATGGTGACAATATTTGTATTGCGTTGCCATGGAAACGGACGCGGTGACATCACGTCATGACATCACGGGGGCGGAGCTTATTTTGCACATGCGCACTGATCAAGCTAGAACGCCGTTCGGGAATGCACTTCACCTGGGGGTAAGCTAATTTAATTAATGTTAATGTTTATGTCTATATAAGTTTGTTTTATTGACTGCTTTTTTGTATTGATCCTGAGGAAAGTCCCATTCAGAGGACTGAAACGTTGATCGCAATTTTTAAATGACCAAATAAAGAATAGAATTTTTAAAACTCCGTAAGTGCTGCTACCTCTTTGGATATATATATATATACAGGGAGTGCAGAATTATTAGGCAAGTTGTATTTTTGAGGATTAATTTTATTATTGAACAACAACCATGTTCTCAATGAACCCAAAAAACTCATTAATATCAAAGCTGAATATTTTTGGAAGTAGTTTTTAGTTTGTTTTTAGTTTTAGCTATGTTAGGGGGATATCTGTGTGTGCAGGTGACTATTACTGTGCATAATTATTAGGCAACTTAACAAAAAACAAATATATACCCATTTCAATTATTTATTATTACCAGTGAAACCAATATAACATCTCAACATTCACAAATATACATTTCTGACATTCAAAAACAAAACAAAAACAAATCAGTGACCAATATAGCCACCTTTCTTTGCAAGGACACTCAAAAGCCTGCCATCCATGGATTCTGTCAGTGTTTTGATCTGTTCACCATCAACATTGCGTGCAGCAGCAACCACAGCCTCCCAGACACTGTTCAGAGAGGTGTACTGTTTTCCCTCCTTGTAAATCTCACATTTGATGATGGACCACAGGTTCTCAATGGGGTTCAGATCAGGTGAACAAGGAGGCCATGTCATTAGATTTTCTTCTTTTATACCCTTTCTTGCCAGCCACGCTGTGGAGTACTTGGACGCGTGTGATGGAGCATTGTCCTGCATGAAAATCATGTTTTTCTTGAAGGATGCAGACTTCTTCCTGTACCACTGCTTGAAGAAGGTGTCTTCAGGAACTGGCAGTAGGACTGGGAGTTGAGCTTGACTCCATCCTCAACCCGAAAAGGCCCCACAAGCTCATCTTTGATGATACCAGCCCAAACCAGTACTCCACCTCCACCTTGCTGGCATCTGAGTCGGACTGGAGCTCTCTGCCCTTTACCAATCCAGCCACGGGCCCATCCATCTGGCCCATCAAGACTCACTCTCATTTCATCAGTCCATAAAACCTTAGAAAAATCAGTCTTGAGATATTTCTTGGCCCAGTCTTGACGTTTCAGCTTGTGTGTCTTGTTCAGTGGTGGTCGTCTTTCAGCCTTTCTTACCTTGGCCATGTCTCTGAGTATTGCACACCTTGTGCTTTTGGGCACTCCAGTGATGTTGCAGCTCTGAA